TTGTACCTGTGAAATGTCTCCCCCCCCCCACCCCAGGAACTCCCCGTGAAGGTCCAAGAGGTGCTGGGTCTGTGTCCCCTCCCTGGCTCCAGTGACGAGAGCCCAGCTTCCAGGCCAGAAGAAACACAGCCACTCATTGGCCAGTCGCGGGACTCTGGTGGCGACACCTGCCAATCAGGGAGCAGCTGCCCTGCAAGGCACCCGCCCCCTACTTACCCATAACTGTAAATGATGATGAGCGCAGGGGCATGTGGTGGGGGTGTATGGCGTTGACAGGATCTGCAGGCACATGCTCCTGTCCTCAGCTACACACCGGGTCCCTGAGATCGTGTGTCTGTCTGTCTCCTCGTGACGTTCCACTGCTTGTCCTGAGTTGTCTCTGTCCTGGTGTGTGGGCTGTTACTGCCTCCCTTGTCTGTGTGAGGCGCGCCTCACTAACTTTGGGTCCCACCCGATGATCTGTCACCTGCCTGTTTTTTCCTCTAGGATGAGTGTAGGTTGATAAAGGTGAAAGTCAGGGTGCTGGGCTTTCCAGCGTTAAATATGCAATATCGCCATGTAATTTTCAGTAACCGCCTCTGACCAATTACCCAATAAAGTGTATCCTGAAAGTGTGACCTATGTGCTGAGCCTGGCTCTGGTGTCTCTGCTGCCCTCCATCTGCTTCCACAAATAGGATCTTTACACGGATAACATCAGAATGGGAGGGTGGAGTTACATCACTTCATGAGATATTTTATAATTACTCATCATCGTATGTCGTGTGCCCTGTACCCTAAATTTTCAGCAGATTCATGTGGCCCAGTTTACCAAATATCTCAACTTTTAGACTAGTGTTGCCCCCCCCCCAACCGACAGCAGGTGGCTGTCTTAAGTTAACAAAGCATTCAGGCTGGGGCCCCATGCCCTCTGTCATGTTAAATGAGCCTGAAAATGGGGGGCGGGAAACCCCCCCCCCCCCCACCACCACCACCCCAGACCCTTCTGAATACAACTGCAGCACATGAATTTAGCAGGCTGCTTAACAAGGTTGCCGACACATTCACCCTTCGCCCTCACTTGGGGGGGGGGGGGGGGGTCTCTCGGCTCTGCTATGCTGTGTGTGTGAGTGATTCTCACTGCTGTGTTATCAATACTGTCTTTGAGTTATTGTGTTTTCTGCTGGAGTACAATGGGCATAGGGCTCTGGGCAGAAGTATGGCCTGGGCGTGGGATGCGAGGCTGGGATATGGCCTGGGCACGAGGCGCTGGGCAGGGGTACAGCCTGGGCACAAGGTGCCAGACAGGGTCATGCCCTGGATGGGGGTACGGCCTGGACATGGGGCACTGGGCCCCATGGGCATCACACTGTCAGGTATGTTAGAACAGTCTGAGTTAAAATGGCCAGGGAATCTGCTTCACTTTTCCAGTAAGTGAACAGGCAGCTGCTGTTCTCTGATTGGGGCATGTAGTCCAGCACATGGTGGCAGTGAAAAGCGACAGATTGGCTGCATTCTACTCTATTCAAACTTTCATTAAAAAAATTAAAAGGCAATGAATAACAAGTCTGTACGAATCTGCACTAAACGTGTGAAAGTCATTCATGAGCACCCCCATGTGAGGGAGGTGGGTTGCGGTTCGTGTGGGGGTGTGTGTAGAGGGAGGGAGGGGTGGAGGGAGGGGGCCACTGTGTGTGTCTGTGTGTCCTCTCACAAAGGAGCATAAGGCACAGGGCTGGTGTCAGAGCAAACAAAGCACATCACTGCCCTGCCTGCCGTCTCTGTCTGTTTCACACATGCTGCTGTGCCCCCAGCAGACTGCTGCCAATGGAGGGGGGGCTCCCAATAAGCTTCCTCAGAGAGTAAACACCCAGGATAGAGGGGGCTTTGCATGCTACGTTATATGAATCTTTCTGAATGTACACACAGTTGCCCTGGTTAGTCTGAGTGCGCCTCCACCTGCGAGTCACAGCTTGGCTTTGGTAGGTACACACGGGCCCCCTGGTTAGTCTGAGTGCGCCTCCACCTGCGAGTCACAGCTTGACATTGGTAGGTACACACGGGCCCCCTGGTTAGTCTGAGTGCGCCTCCACCTGCGAGTCACAGCTTGACATTGGTAGGTACACACGGGCCCCCTGGTTAGTCTGAGTGCGCCTCCACCTGCGAGTCACAGCTTGGGTTTGGTAGGTACACACGCGCCCCCTGGTTAGTCTGAGGGCGCCTCCACCTGCGAGTCACAGCTTGGGTTTGGTAGACACACGTGGGCTGTCTGGTTAGTCTGAGTGCGTCTCCACCTGCGAGTCACCGGGGACTGGCATCTCTTGTGTGTCGCTTTCACATCACACAACAGGAACTGGTACCTTTATGCGAAATAAGTATGGAAGACGCAAAAAGATCATTAAACTTCACTTACAATTCAAAACTACACCACCACCCTAAAACATGTAACGTATTCCACTAATAAGCGCTGGCAAGTTTCACCGCCAGCCCCAGCGATATCAGAACAAAGTACACTGCTCAAAAAAATTAAAGGAACGCTTTGAAAACACATCAGATCTCAATGGGGGAAAAAATCATGCTGTATATCTATACTGATATGGACTGGGTAATGTGTTAGGAATGAAAGGATGCCACATTGTTTGATGGAAATGAAAATGATAAACCTACAGAGGGCTGAATTCAATGACACCCCGAAAATCTAAGTGAAAAAATGAGGCGGTAGGCTGGTCCATTTTGCCGAAATTTCATTGCAGCAACTCAAAATCGTACTCAGTAGTTTGTATGGCCCCCACGTGCTTGTATGCATGCCTGATAATGTCGGGGCATGCTCCTAATGAGACGACAGATGGTGTCCTGGAGGATCTCCCCCCAGATCTCAACCAGGGCATCACTGAGCTCCTGGACAGTCTGAGGTGCAACCTGGTGGCGTCGGATGGACTGAAACATAATGTCCCAGAGGTGTTCCATTGGATTTAGGTCAGGCGAGCATGGGGGCCAGTCAATGGTATCCATTCCTTCATCCTCCAGGAACTGCCTGCATACTTTCGCCACATGAGGCCGGGCATTGTTGGGCACCAGGAGGAACCCAGGACCCACTGCACCAGCGTAGGGTCTGACAATGGGTCCAAGGATTTCATCCTGATACCTAATGGCAGTCAAGGTGTCATTGTCTAGCCTGTAGAGGTCTGTGTGTCCCTCCATGGATATGCCACCCCAGACCATCACTGACCCACCACCAAGACGGTCTTGCTGAACAATGTCACAGGCAACATAATGTTCTCCGCAGCTTCTCCAGACCATTTCACTTCTGTCATATGTGCTCAGGGTGAACCTGCTCTCATCTGTGAAAAGCACAGAGTGCCAGTGGTGGACCTGCAAATTCTGGTATTCTATGGCAAATGCCCATCGAGCTCCACGGTCCTGGGCAGTGAACACAGGGCCCACTAGAGGACGTCGGGCCCTCAGGCCACCCTCACAAAGTCTGTTTCTGATTGTTTGCTCAGAGACATGCACACCAGTGGCCTGCTGGAGGTCATTCTGTAGGGCTCTGGCAGTGCTCTTCCTGTTCCTCCTTGCACAAAGGAGCAGATACTGGTCCTACTTACAGGTTAAGGACCTTCTACGGCCCTGTCCATCTCTCCTAGAATAAATGGAATGTCCTCCATGGCCTTCTGGCAATGGCACATATTGATGCACCATCCTGGAGGAGTTGGACTACTTGTGCAACCTCTGTAGGGTCCAGGTATCACCTCATGCTACCAGTAGTGACACTGACTGTAGCCAAATGCAAAACTAGTGAAAAAAACTGTCAGAAAAGATGAGGAGGGAAAAATGTCACTGTTAAACCACTCCTGTTTTGGGGGTCGTCTCATTGTTGCCCCTCTAGTGCACCTGTTGTTAACTTCTTTAACACCAAAGCAGCTGAAACCGATTAACAACCCCCATAGCTACTTAACGGACTAGATCAATATCCCAGAAGTTAAATTGACTCGATGCTATACTCTGATTAAAAAGTGTTCCTTTAATTTTTTTGAGCAGTGTATATTGGTTATCTTGGTAATTATATTGGTAATTTTCTGATGCTGAAATATGAAGATGCAAGCAAAAGATGTATTCATTAAATGTAACTGAAATACAAAAATAATTCCAACTGCTCAATTTTTGCTCCGCTAGTTATATCTCTTTTAAAAGATGGCTTCAGAACTGCGTGCTGGAACTAAGATCAGGCTGACTTTCTGTGGTGTGACCACGACAAAAGCCCCTGGTTCTGGAACCAAGTTCTGGTTCCAAAAGAAGTTCCTGTGGTTTGAAAGTGCCTGAACATACACATGGACCGCCTGATTAGTCTAGGTGCTCTTCATCCTGTGAGTCACTGTCCACCTGTCTTGTCGAGTTTGCTTCATACCACAAGTCAGCCAGCCCAGATCATCTAAGTGTGCTTCGTCCTGTGAGTCACCACCTAGTTAGTCTGAGTGCATGTCATTCTGCGAGTCACAGCTCGGCTTTCGTTGGATACGCACGGCCTGCCTGGTTAGTCTGCAGACATTTTGTCCTGCCATAGTGCCTGGGTGAGGTTTTCATGTGGTTTCTCCCTGGATTTGCCTCTGCTTTTTTCACCCATGCTCATTGTCACATGCTGCACATGACCTTTTCCCCCCTTCTCCATTTAGAGACGACCCTCTCCTCTCCTCTCTTTCATTCCCATCTGTTGCGGTCTCCTCCCTCTCTTGTCTTCTCACTCACTCTCCCCCTTCTCCTCTCCATCTCTTTCCACCTGTTGATGCCATTATCCCTAACCCTCCTTTGTTGTCTTTCTATTATTGTACTTTTCCCAGTTCCCCGCCCCCCTCCCCTTCCCTTTCAGGGGTATAAGAGGGTAGGTATGAGGGTGTGCTTCCCCTCAGGACAGAGCACACACTCCAGACAGGCACACAGACACACCACCGTGCACCGGACGGACCGGAGCTGGAATTGGATGCACAGCCCAGCACCCTTACGGGGACTTCACAGAGAGCGTCCAGGATGTCAGTGTCACTCTGGTGCGAGGAGGAGCAGGAGGATGCCATGCCAAGGGCTCCCTGGGACCCCCACGCCAGCGGGGAGCGCGTGCTGGGGATGCTGCTGCGGGTAGAGCAGCGATACTCACCGTCGGCCCTCTACGTGAGCCTCACTCAAAGACAGCCTCAGCAGAGGGAACAGCTGGCCAAGTGGGCACTGGAGGTATGTCTCTGTCGTCCAGGGTGTGTGTCCAGTATGTCTGTCTGTCACCCGGTGCATAGGTACAGCTGTCCAGCTGTGTGAGCCTCTCACCCCTCCCTCAGGTGTGCTGTGAGTCCAGCTGTGAGGAGCGCGTCTTCCCCCTAGCCTTGTCCCTGCTGGACCGCTTCCTGTCAACCTCCCTGGCCCTGCCGCCCTCACCGCTCTGCCTGGCTGCAGCCTGCGTCCTGCTCGCCTCCAAGCTGCAGCAGAGTGAGCCGCTGGGTGCTCACATGCTCTGTGCCGCCGCCCCTGGTGCCTTCCTGCCCCAGAGCCTGCGGGTAGGTCGCTCCACACTGCTTGTGTTCGCCCGCATTCGTTTCCACTTACATGGGTGTCCCCCAGTAGGTTCAGGTGGTTTCCCACCGTCTGTTGCGTTAACTGACATGAACTCATTCATTTATTCTGCATTCAACACTCATGTTGTCATGGGAACAACCCTGACACCGTTTCCTTCTGTCTGTCTCTGCTAGGAGATGGAGCGGGTTGTCTTAGCAACACTACAATGGGATGTTGCCGCCATTACTCCCCAGGACTTCTTCCCACACTTGCTACCTGCTCCCACGGAGAAAGGAGCTAGCACTGCAGACGCCGAGGCGTTTCTGTCTACCCTCCGTCGTCATGGTGACACCCTGGTCGCCATGTGCATCTGTGATGCCCGCTTCCTGGGGATGCCGCCATCTCTGGTTGCCGCGGCAGCACTGAACTCTGCCTTCCGAGGTCTGGATGACAGGGGTCCTCAGCTACGCAACATGCCAAAAACACTGGCTGCACACTGTCGTATTAACTTGGTGAGTACATGAGACCACAACGTGGGTGAGATCATTAAAGAGAGCATGGAATGACCAAGATTAAAATGGCTGATGTATAGTATGTGAGGAGACAGGGGGGATTATGGTAAACAAATGAAAGATCCAAGAATGAGTCTCTGAAACAAGCTACTGCTCTCTGATCTCAGGCTGTACTGCAGTACTACACAGACATGATAGAGGGCGCACTTTCAGAGCGACTGAGAGCCGGACGAACACAGCAAGAGAAGCAACACAAAGCAGAGAAGGATGGAGACGTAGAGGAGGAGAGAGCCAGCACCCCAACAGACCTGCAAGAAGTTGATTTTTAACGAATGAGAAGCAGCAGAAATTTTCATTCAAATCAAACTGCATCGAAATAAGTAGTTAAAACTGATTTAACTAAAACGTCGAATTTAGGTATTTTATATATTTATTGTATTATTTATTTATTTATTTATGGTCTATTCATACTTGTGTTTAATTTTATCTTGTTTTATGTCATATTATTTTGGTCTTTGCTACAATCTTACATAAATTTTATTTAAGATATTTAATTATGGTGTTTGTACTATTTGTTCTAATTTATGTGTATGTGTATAATTACTGAATTTTTCATATTATATTGTTTTAAAATGTGTTGTTTTAGACAATGAATGACTTTTTCCATTTTTAAGAATATCCTGAATTAGTGTTTAATTACTCTTCACATTGAAGACAATAACTGTCCATATTTCAAATGATATCTTGCATACTTGTTTTATAAAACAAAAAAGTGGTTCTTCTGTACATTGTCCTTGACTGAATTATCATTGAAAACACCAGAATATCATACGGCTATTGTTTATGCATTAACATGGTTTGTTTTTCTATTACTAAACATTACATTTTACATTTACAAGCAATTTGATTTGATTTTCCCTGTATTTACAACTATAACTTGTATTTATAGCTATAACTAAATCTATTGCTGCAAAGAAGTTGTGAAAAGCTGGTTTTGCACCATAAAGAGGCACACTTTTTCAAGTACCTGAACACTGACCTAGAGTTATCTCCTCCCAGTTGATGTTAGCTTGATTCCTGTGAAGTAAATTAATAATCATTTTAATTGTGATTAAAAAGCTTTCTGGCAGACTTTAGTCCCCAGTAAGAGATTTATTCTGTTTTTTGAATGAGATGTTTCCTATAGTGGAGGTAGATTTAGCAGTTAGTGGAGTTAGTAGAGCTATACATCAAAACATGAATAATGCGTCGATTGTTCCACATATATTTCTTAAGAGTTAACAGCTGTTTACAGCTGTTCCTCTCAGTTATTTTATGCATACCTGTCAAGTTTTGGATTTGAAAATAATCAAATAATAATTTTCCGGCACCCACCGCGAGCCACCCCAACCAAGCTCCAGTATACCTTACATTTTAAGACATGTGTACAAGAAATCTAAAATAACCACTTGTCATTTACATTTTATTTTCATTACACATTTTCTTTTAATTCCTCATGTTCACTCATGTGACTCTCTGGCATTCACTAATGACTTATTATACAGATTTGTTGCAGACTTTGTATCCTTGTTGAAGTCGTCACAGAAGGTGAAAGTAACGTTGTTTTTGGCACACAGTATTGCCATTTTAACCTCTGCATTTATGACCTGGTTAATGTTGTAAATGACCTGCAGACTACTGCAGGTGGCAGGTCTCACGAGGCTACTGACAGTTCAGTTTGGAGAGGCAGAGGAATTTTTTTTTTAAATAATACGGGAGATTTACGGGAAAATACTAATACGGGAGGACGGCGGGAAAGAGGGGTAAAATACGGTAGTTTCCCGGCCAAAACGGTAGACTTGACAGCTATGTTTATGTGGTAATATGCTATCTTTGGTAGTAACAAAAGGAGACAGCCTACCCATTACTGAATGCATGCCATTTGTTTTAGATATCAGAATAAACCATATTGGTCCTAATACTGCATTTATGCTACTCTGTCCTCTAAGGAAATGTCATATTCATAAATTCAGTGATCTAAAGTCTAAACCTCATTAAATTAGTCAGTGTTTATACAGAATCCCAGCTTAATGCCTCTTAAACTCTGGATACTGAACTCTTTAGCCAATGAACTGTTTTGTTTTACATAATATAATTTTTTATTATGGTGTCCACATTTCATCAATGTTAATGTTATTATTTTTTAAGTTACTTCGTTCAAAATCCAAAACCTCGCTTGGAACTGGAGGTGGGAAGCGGGAAGGATGTTGCGTGATGATGACAACACAGGCGCTAGATCTCGCGAGATCCTGTCGCTTGTTGATAACGTCGAGAAGTGCTGCTGGATAGGCTGTCGCCTAACGATGATGCTGCGTGTGTCGGGAATCCTGTTTTTCTAGAACACTGTCGTTGTTAGTAAGGCGGCCGAGCTGGGAAAGACAGCAGAGGGGAAGGCATACAAAAGAAGAAACAGCGGACGACTGACGAATGAAGGTAGGTGCGAGGCTCATAGAGACTGTAGTGCGGTCACAGGTTGCCGGGGGAGAGGAGCACTGACTGAGCGAAGTGTACGAAAGGGACACCCTGCGCGTCGCCTGTCCCCTTTGAGTGCCTGTTTACTTCACACTTGTGTGTTTTTACACAATTGCACACCATATTGTACACCTGTGAGCACGGCAACCACAGTCTTATTCAATAGATGTCCGTCCATTTTCCAAGCCCCTGTCGGAGGCTTGCGGAGGAGGTCCTGCAGTCTGTTTAACGCAGGATAAGGCACAAAGCATGGGGAACGCCCGAGCTGGGATGCCAGTCCAGGGCAGGGCACATACACTGTGAGCATTTTAGAAATGTTTGTTAGCCTAACTGGATGTCTTTGGACTGGGGGGGAAAAAAACCTCACAGTATGCAATCTGCACACAAAAACAAGCGGCGGTTAGTTAGTATTTACTGTGGTGTCTCCTACTTCTGTGTTTCTGTGCCAGAGGACCATGCCCGGAGCTCCACGCTGGCTGCTGCTGCTGGGCTCTCTGTCGCTCGGGGTGTGGTCATTACCAATTGAGCGCAATTCCATTCCCCAGGATGCCCAGCCCTTTCAGGAGGAGAAACGGGAAGATGTGGTACTTAGTAAACTTGTTTTTGGCTCCATCATGTGTTACTGGTGTTTACAGATATCTGAACCCTTCTGTTCACATAAATAAAGCAGTGAGGCATGTTGGTCTCTGACGGTTAAGAGAACCCTTCAGTTTCTGAGGGATTTATGCTCTTTTCATGTTTCTGTGGCCTTCCTCTCTGGGTGTACCCCTCTGTACCCTGACCTGACTGTCAGTTCTGGGTGTACCCCTCTGTACCCTGACCTGGCTGTCAGTTCTGGGTGTACCCCTCTGTACCCTGACCTGGCTGTCAGTTCTGGGTGTACCCCTCTGTACCCTGACCTGGCTGTCAGATCTGGGTGTAACCTGTGTCTTGTGTTTCCAGTGCTGTGAAAACACAAGCCAGTGTTTTGCTTCAGGTTGTCTAGTTTCATCAATCCTCAGTGTCTCTCTGCCCATGACAGCTGTAAATGTAGCCACCGATATTCAGCTCTCATTTCAAAGTGCATGGTGCATCTCCTCCTCAGGACACTGGCCTGTACTATGACAGGTACCTTCGAGAAGTGATCGAGGTCCTGGAGACTGATCCTCACTTCAGAGAGAAGCTGCAGACTGCCAACACAGAAGACATCAAGGTGATTCCCGATCTTTCAGTGGCAGAGGTCGATGCTGTCTTGCCTGTGTAGGTGGAGCGGCTCCTCCGCTCCCCCCTCCGGTGCTGCAGTGCAGACATGCCCCGCCTCCCTCTCTCCCTCCCTGTTAGAATGGCCGTCTCAGCAAGGAGCTGGACCTGGTCGGCCACCACGTGCGGACCCGCCTGGATGAGCTGAAGAGGCAGGAGGTGTCCAGGCTGCGAATGCTGCTCAAAGCTAAGATGGACAGTGCCAGCATGCACAGTGAGGGCCATGAAGAGCGGGTGCACGTGTTTGCACCAGTGTTGTTATAGTTTTGTTTTAGTTATTTTATCTATTTATATTATTTTCAATTTTTATTTGAAATCCAGTTTAGTTTTAGTGTGAAAGTTGCAGAGTGAACACACTGCATATTACATGCCAGTGTCCTCAATAGGTGCATAACATATTCCAAGTATCATCAGTTGTCATTGATTATAAACAAATCGTTACATCGGTTTAAAAAAAAAATGGTAATGAAAAATGTTTGACATTTGTTTTTATTTTATTTAAGTTAGTTTTGGAAGCAATATCTATAGTTTACATTTAGTTGTAGTTTTTTTATTTTCCTGTCTTGTTTTATTTCAATCTACGAAAATGTTTTGTTATAGTCTTAGATTTCGTTAACAATAATAACAGCGGTGTACGTGTCCATGGTTCCCTGTGTGGCATCTCACTGCTCTCTCTCTGTCCACCTCCCATCGGGGAAGATCTTCAGGTAGACCACACCACACTGCTGAAGCAATTTGAGCACCTGGACCCTCACAACCAGAACACTTTTGAGGCCAAAGATCTGGAGCTGCTCATTGCTACGGTAACTATGGATGGAGGGGATGTAAACATAGGATTTTAACGAACTAGGGTTAACCCTTAGAACCCGACAAATGCAAAATGCATTTATTTTCTCACCCGTTAATCTCATGCTCGTGACTTTGGATAGGTATAACGTATAGACATGAATCGCATATCATTGGAATCGAGAGAACTTACTTGATCTGCTCGTCTAAGAACATAAGAACATAAGCACTATACAAACGAGAGGAGGCCATTCGGCCCATTGAGCTCGCTTGGGGAGAACTTAACTAATAGCTCAGAGTTGTTAAAATCTTATCTAGCTCTGATTTAAAGGAACCCAAGGATTCAGCTTGCACTACGTTATCAGGAAGACTATTCCATACTCTGACTACACGCTGTGTAAAGAAGTCCTTCCTTAAATCCAGTTTGAAATGTTCTCCCGCTAATTTCCACCTATGGCCACGAGTTCTTGTATTTGAACTAATGCTGAAGTAACTATTCGGTTGAACAGCATCCAAACCTGTTTGAATCTTATAGACCTGGATCATGTTCCTCCTCAGTCTCCTTTGCTTGAGGCTGAACAGATTTAGCTCAACTAACCTTTCCTCGTATGACATTCCTCTAAGACCAGGAATCATTCTTGTGGCCCTACGCTGCACCTTTTCTAAGGCCGCAATGTCCTTTATAATATATGGTGACCAAACCTGCACACAATATTCTCACCAAGGAATTTTATAATCTTAGCATTACCTCCCTTGACTTAAACTCCACACACCTGGAGATATACCCCGACATCCTATTGGCCTTTTTTATTGCTTCCCCGCACTGGCGAGAATGAAACATGGAAGCATCAACATACACACCAAGGTCTTTCTCATAATCAGCTACCTTTATTTCAGTAGGTCCCATAAAATACCTGTACTTTTATATTTCTGCTCCCTACATGGAGTACCTTACATTTGTCTATGTTAAATTTCATCTGCCAGGTGTCAGCCCAGTCACTAATTAAATCAAGATCCCTCTGTAGCTGCTGAGCCGCTAGTTCAGTATCTGCTACACCACCCACCTTGGTGTCATCTGCAAATTTCACCAGTTTACTGTATATATTGGTGTCTATATCATTTATGTAAATTAGGAACAATAGTGGTCCTAAAATTGAACCCTGCGGTACCCCACTATGAACGCAGGCCCACTGTGACATTGTGCCTCTTATAACTACTCGCTGCTTCCTATCTGTTAACCAGTTATCAATCCAGGTCGCTACAGTTCCTAAAATACCTGTCGCTTTGAGTTTAAGTGAGAGCCTCTTGTGGGGGTTGCAACATTGTGCTTTACAGTATTCCAGAGTAATCCTGTGTACAATGAGGCATATATTTTAAACATTTTGCACCAAAACACACCCCTAATAATCCATAAAGCATTGATTTTATTCGCATTGGATGGTAAACAAAGTGCATATTCGCTTGTGCTGCACTTTTGGGGACAAAATATTTCTTTTATTTTTTATAAGCCTAAAAATAAAGGGACAGAAAAACACCCAAAAATTGGCTGAAGTTTTACTATAAATAACAACAAAACGCAGCATTTTATTTATTTGGAAGGCAATTACTTGATATTTTCGTAATATTTATTGATAAGTTTGTATATGTATGTTTGGTGTCGAGCTCCATCAAAACAGTCGAAATGGAATGTGGCCGTCGTGTAACTGGAACACCTCCCACATGTAAACACAATGATGTGCTACAAAGTTGGTTTGTTGTTTGAGGCTAAAATGCCAACAAATAGTTTCATTCCCAAATTTCACTTTAACAATTATGTTTTAATGTTATGTCCGTGTTTATCCAGTAGATCATAAACTAAGCAATGCTTTTCTATTTTTTACTTCCATTTCTTCCCAATGTGATATATATGTACCGTATTTTCCGCACTATGACGCGCACTGCATTATAAGGCGCACCGTCAATCAGTGGTCTATTTTCAAACTTTTTCCACATACAAGGCGCACCGGACTTTAAGGCGCTTTAAGCAAAACAAAACAGTCAGATAAGCCAGTCAACGAAAATTTATTTTACATCACGTGTTCACAATGACTGTCAACATTGTTCAAACGTTTATGAGCGTCTTCACTACTCTTTAACACGTAAAAAAACAAGAGTCTTATACCGCTAAATTAAAAGTCAGCCTATTAAAAATAACTCAAAATTGAACACTTATAATACGGTCCTACACCGCTAAATCAAAAGTCAGCGTATTCATAATAACTCTTGAAATTGTTAATTTATAACACGTGAAGCACTACACGATACACTCACTTTTCAATACTAAAACATTCAAATCGCTTCGAGTTCAGTATGCACAACAGAAATTAATCCACGTTTAAAGCGCACTGGATTATAAGGCGCACTGTTATTTTTTAAGAAAATCAAAGGCTTTTTAGTGCACCTTATAGTGCGGAAAATACGGTATATATCCATGCATTCCGGTCTATCAAATAACTTGAACAAGTTACCAAATGGATGCAAAATCAAAGATACTCATTTCCGTCTGACACTAACCATGTATTCCTTCACAATACTAAAGCTTGGAAAGGTCCGCAATGAAAACCTTGCATTCCCACATCATAAGAGACTCTAATCTCAACATTTATAAGATTATATCTAATGCCTCCAAATTTATATATTAGATAAGACTAAAAATAGTTTTTCCTCATAAAAAGGAAGTTATCAAGACTGTGTCAGCATTTGCACATCAAATTATGATGTGTATGAGTAGCCCAGAATGTCCAGTAAATACAACCATAAAACATATGTGGTTAACTCATGTACATACAATGTAATAAGCCTAAAATCAAACAGATAGAAAAATGCTCAAAAATGGATGGGGTTCTAATGGTTAATGCTTAATTTGAGCTTCCTGAATTGGCTTTTCACTTGCAGGTAACAATGGGTTTGACACATGGTGTGGTGCCTTGTGTGAAGCAGTAAACAGGAGTCATAATGCGAAAATGCTAGATTGCTAGGTTTACATGCCGTTCACTACCCCCCTCCCCCAACAGGCCACCAAGGACCTCGAAAACTATGACGCAGAGCGACATGAAGAGTTTAAACGCTATGAGATGTTAAAGGAACATGAACGCCGGCAGTATCTGAAGGGGTTGGACCAGGAAAAGAGGGAGCAGGAGGAGAGGAGGCTGCAGGAGCTGCAGGAGAAACACCGGCAACACCCGAAAATCAATGCCCCGGTGAGAGAGAGAGGTGCAGGGGAGAGTCCCGAAGGGAGGATGAGCTGCCAGAGAGCAAGGGAGGAGCTTCATTATCATCATGCTATCTTGTAATTCCTGCGTGACATGGACAGGAAGTCAGCTCACCTTGTAGAGCAGAAGCTGCAGTAGATCATTGCCGTTTCAGTGGGAAACGCTAACTGTATGCTAATCCTGGTCCTTGATCGCACCCCAGGGCAGTGTGGCTCAGCTTCGCGAGGTGTGGAAAGAGACGGATGGCCTGGACCCACAGGAGTTCAACCCCAAAACCTTCTTTAAGCTCCATGGTTCGTGTTTACCCACACCCTTCACCAAAAATCCTAATCATTCGATCCTAACTTTTCAATGCCGTTACTTCTCTCTGCATCCTTTTCTTAATCACGCAAGTTGGCCCCTGTCACTCAGGCCAGCAGCATGACTATGGATTCCTTTTTGTCTGCCCTAGACACAAATGGAGATGGCGTTCTGGACGAGCAGGAGCTGGAGGCTCTCTTCACTAAGGAGGTGCGTGTTTCTTGCGTGCCTGCTGACATAGACCCTACTTCTGCGCTTATTTGGGTGCGTCGATCTCTTCTGCCAGCTTGAAAAGGTCTACGACCCACGCAATGAGGAGGATGACATGGTGGAGATGGAGGAAGAGCGACTGAGGATGAGGGAACACATGATGAAGAACGTGAGTCTGCCCTCCCGGTTTCTCTGTCGTTCCGTTCCTGAGTGCTCCCACTGGGTCACACTGGCACTCCAAACTCCTATAGACAGCAGCAGCCGCTGCAGACCTCTCCTAATTTTGATTTACTATATTTGGGCAGGTAGATATCAACCACGATCGGTTGGTCAGCTTGGATGAGTTCATGAAGTCGATGGAGAAGAAGGAGTATTACAATCCAAAGGAGTGGAAGGTGAGGAGGGTGAGGGTGATGGAGCAGAACCCTGACCAGTCTGTGTTAGGCTCATACTGGTAAAGGAGCTTAGAGGAAAGGGTGGGGGGGGGGGGTGCAAATGACCGTGAACCATGCTCAGCGTTGGTCTCCTATTGGTCTCCTGCCTGCTGAAGACCCTGGATGACACTAAGCCGGTGTATTCGGAGGCGGAGCTTCAGCAGTTTGAGGCAGAGCTGCGGGAAAAGGAGGCGGAGCTTGGACGCAAGGCAGAGTCTTTGCGTCAAGAGCAGGAGTTGCTGAATGAGCGAGGCCGAGCGCTGGAAGCGCAGAAGAGGGAGTATCAACTGGTGAGAAACTATCCTGCCATTCACACATTGGGTTTAGCTGTGCAGTACAGAGCATGCCCTCCTCATGTAGTACCCTCACCTCCAGGCAGTGATGGAGATGTCCCAGAGACAGAAGAACCTGCAGGCAGGATCTCAGGCTCCCCCTGCAGGGCCTGATGGGGAGCTGCAGTTTCATCCAGTAGAGCGAGGTGAGGAAGTGGTGTTCAGTAAATACCTTTAGCTGAATATTTATGAGTGACAGACAGAAAGCTGTGTGCCTGCTTCTGTATGAAGGCCTGACAATCCCCCCCCCCCCAGGCCCCGTCCCTCAGGATGTGGAGGTGGATGGACAGAATGTTCCCCCTGCAGAGCCTCCCCAAAACCTGCACACTCCTTAACAGTCACACACACACACACACACACACACACACACACATGCCAAGCCTGTGGTTTTTCTTTTGCCCAATTCAGTTATTGCTGTTCATTTTCAATTAAGTTCAATACATTTTTATATAGCACCTTTCTCAACAGTCACCCCAAGGTGCTTTACATGGATGCGTTGTGATATATTCCTGCATCATTCCTGCTCGCACCTTCAGGTTCACCTGCCATCGTGTGAGTCGTGTGTGACGGCTTTTTGGGCGCTGGGTCAGCTGGGCTGACATCCTGCCCCGGAGTCACATCTTCATACCTCAGTGGAGCACGGGGCCCCCCCACCCCCCCCAGATCGATGCTCTTCCAGAATCACGCTCCCAGCACTTGGACCCGCGATGACACACCCACACATCGCGCCGGCTTCACGTTTGTTGTGTGGTCTTGCATTTTAATAAAGGGGCTGTTTTAACAATACCTTTGTGGTTCATCACTGTGCTGCGTATCTGTGCTGCTGTGTACCCTGCAGAGCAAATTTCTGTTTATTCAATGGAGTTGGTTTTGAGAGCTATACTTACAGACTGCAAAAAAAACTGACTTTTTGGTCTAATTAGGCCATGATGCAGTACCACCTGTAACCTACAGAGGGCTGCGGAGTCATGCAAATAGTACTGGTCAAAACAGGATGCTGTGTGCTGGTGATCTCACTTGGTTTCTTCATACTGTCAGTATATGAGTGTCCTCTCGGCAGTCCTAGGAGCTTATTTAATGCAAGCCGCTTGTGCTTTTATCTTTATTGGTCTGTCCCTGTCTGATCACGAGTCAGTGCTCTGCATCTGTGCCATTAAAACTCTCCACTTTAGGGGTGAAATGTTTGTGGGTGAATCAACCTGTCCAGTCCCAGCTGTCAAGACACAGACTGAGGGGCGACCCTCCCAGGGTGGAAGGAATCCTCCTTGTACACTCAGAGGCGCAGCAGACGAGGGTTCGCATATCTACAGAAGGATCAGGAGCAGATGAGGAAGCAGAATCGCTTTCCCAGTTTCTGCAGCCATTTTAGTGCTTATGACATGTTCTGTCCAAGGTAGCAAAAGAAATTTGGATGTCAGCATTTTACCATCCCCTCCCCCGTTTGTGTGAGCCCTGCCCAGCCATGGAGAGTATCACCCTCTGGTATCTATGGTCTTTCCTCAGACATCAGGATTGCCATTTCACTGTAAATAAGCTGTTGTTCCATAGCACATACCGTTTCACGTTGTTTTTATGTTAAAGGATGCCTATTACTGCAGCAGCGTCTGCGCACAGATCGTTACATTTACACCGTTTAAATCTGATGCCGGAGCTGAAATTTAAAATGTGCCCATTGCTCTTTAAATCTCTGCCAGCACCATATCAATGACATCATCCTCCAAAAACACATTACATCACCTCTTTGGGGACCCTTCTCCAGCAGTCCGGCCTCGCTTCGCACGTGTACCTTCTGAGGATTCTATTGGCTTTTCGTCAACGAAGGCCGACCTTCCGATGCTTCCTATTGGTTATTATTGTGGTTGGTTTCGCGTTATGATTGGTTAAATTCTAGTATTGGTTATAAAATCCCACATCTAGACATGAAAGTATTGGCGGTGTGGGGCCCGCGGGTAATTCATTTTCTTCTTTTGGTGGTGGTGTGATTTCTTATGACTTATACTTAAAATACTCTTATGTAATTGGGACCACAATGTACAGTCATAAGTAAAAGCTGAATCTTGTCTGGTGTAGTTCAGTGAGACGATGCTTTTATAGCTTTTCTGTATTTATATTGATATGTTTAATCACTGGCCATATAAGCCCTAATTAGTATAAACGAGTTCACATGATTCCTTACATAAGGCAGACAGTATTGCCGTATACAAGTAAATAACGGAACATTGATGGATTGACAGAATGTTGCTATCAGAGTTTCCCCAAAGCTCAGAGGGGTTGGATTTGTCAAATAGCTTCCGTTTATTTGTTATATAATCATTAAGATGGTTACATTTTTTGTGGAAATATTCAGCTTTATAAATGTATATAGTCTTTTAATAATTTATCTACTTGATTACATGGATAATTTTGTTTTTGTGATTTCTTTAAACTTGGCAGTGACAACCGTGTTCCTCAAATCTGTTGGCCAAATAACATCTAGCCTCAATAAAAAAACATAAAATACTAAAGAATAAATCAATCCCAGGCGGTTAGATAGTGTCTGATTTTATTTAAAATAGCATTTAATGGTAGTCAATACTTCTGGCATAAACTTTGCGTCTGGGGAAGGCCTACTGTATCTTCCTCTAGCGTAGTTGCCTTAGGAGATGCTAGCATTAAAAACACGATTGATAACCTATGACCCCGATGGCATTGTTTAATATTTCGATAATTGTGTTTGCTTGTTTATTGATATGTCAGGGTGTGCGTATTTATGGCCTTCTCTTCTTCTCTTTGTCCAGGCATTTCGCTTGCTGATGAGCGTCTTTCCTTATACGTTTTCCCCGTTAGGTCCACTGCACAGCACAAGCACTTTTCCTGGTGAAGTGTAGTCTCTGAAAAACCTTGTGGAGAAAGACCGAATGTATCTTTAAGATCCAGTACCTTACCGTCGGGGAGGGATGGATAAAGGGAGGGGGCAGAGAGAGAGAGAGAGAGAGAGGGTGACGGGGGAGGTATGGTGTACTGCTGTAGCGCCGCTCTTCGTCGCCTTGTGGATGAGGGAGGGAGGCACAAATCTGGACTTTAAGGGGCTCGGCTTATACCCCGATGGACCGAATGGAATATTATCTGTTTAAGCTCCTTCGGGTAAGGACCTGAAAACCCCCACTCCGGATGCATGTATAATTATCACATACCCGTGTGTCCGTGCAGTACAGGCGTAGGAAAGGCTAAATGAAGCAGGGCTGAGAACGTCGGGACCAGCCGTCCATTGATAGATTCAGGGTGAAAGACCAGCATGTATTTTCGCGCATATACTGTATATGGCAGGCTTCTCAAGGTGCCCACAGAGAGACGGAAGGGACGTGCGTCGCCATACCTCTTATTACTCATATACTAACCTATATATTAATGCACAACTGGTAATTCCGCATCGACGCAGGTTTAGCTGTGTGGTTCAGAATGGATCACTTTCCTCTTTCCCATCAGTGTAGCATTTTCTGTTATTAGGCGAGGATACCGTAAATCGCGATTGAAAATATATAATTCATTACTGAAAATCGCAGCCGTGTGCCTGTATGTCTGTCTGTATGTCTGTCTGCGTTTTCGTGGATGTGGCTTTTTACCCAAATGGGATAGCTTGGTGTCCGTACCCAGGTCCGAGAGTCCGCATAGTGTACAGAAATGCAGAAATAGAGAAAAACAGCAGGAACAGGATCAGCATCAGCCCAGCCGATACTGACTTTGGGACTAAATATATCCGTGATATCTGTTATAATATTATTATTATTATTATTATTATTATTATTATTATTATGACAGCATGTCGTTTTTATAGCCAGTGTGTAGCGGACATAGGCGTCTTAGTTTCTGTGTTTTTAAAACGATGGTGCATGTGTAATACCGAGTGGCATCTTTATACAGACGGAGAAATTTTCAAAGGCGCCCTTATAACGTTCACACGTTTGCATTTCCGTGATCACTGGGTAGCCGGTTTCATTTCACACCGTTCATTTCGTTTTTTTATGCAGCATCCGTTTTGCCAGTGTTTTCCATCGTAACGAGGCTTTTACCGTCGACGTTAGACATACAGCGAGCTGTTTGCTGGTGTCCCCGTCCCCGTCCCCCAGTCGCTTTCGGCTACATTGTCTGGCGCTGGCTATTTATCAAGTGATAAAATGATAAAATGGTCCGCGAACGGTCTGTTCTCGTCTGATGTCCACTATTGGCCAGTCCTCTTTCTATCAGTCGACTTGCCCTTCTCAGCATTTGGTGGTTTATGCTGCCTATTCTGCCATGCAACCCCTCCCTCCTCTCTTCCTCCTTCTCCACACCCTCTGCCTCTCTTTCTCACTCCTTTGCTTTCTCCCTCCCTCCCTCCCTCTTCCTCGCTCATCCTGTGTCTCCATTCGTTCTCCTCCTCAGGACCGTTCTCTTCCTTATTCTGCTTTTAATGAGCTTGTTGTAATGTGATGTGGTGTATGTGGTGCCCATGCTATCGGTGTGCTGTTGATATCAGTCTCTGTATATGACATGGCTATAAACCTGTCACTGTGTCGTGCCTCACTTATATGCATCAGCAGCTCACCAGGATGCTATTACTGCAGTCACATTACTTTCTAGAGATGTGCAAAGGCAGGCAGCGATATACAGGTAACGGATGTTCCCCAAATTCTTCCTTCTGTTTGACATGAAAGCAATGCTGACCCTCCACACTGTCATACAGACAACAACGATTTCAGCCTTACATTGCTTGTGTTTATGGATATGGATAGTATTTCCCAGACGCCTGTCTATTTGCTTAATTGACCAAAGCAAAGGTCCGGCCGTGTTTGATATATTCCATAGAGTGACATCCGAGAGGACCAAAAGGAATGTGTTTTGGGGATTCTTAAGATGTATAGCATATGAACCACAGCTAAGATTGGGTTATTCTAAGCCAACAAATTCAAGACTTTAATTATGAACTGGAATTACATTGTGAGGCAAGATTTACTGAAGTAAAGGATAAAGAGAAGTCCAAGGTAACAGAGAATAAGCGAAAGACTGAAGGTGGACATGAAGGTCCAGGGTGATGGAGGATAAGAGGAAGACTGAAGATAGACATGAAGGTCCAGGGTAACAGAGAATAAGAGAAAGACTGAAGATAGACATGAAGGTCCAGGGTGACAGAGAATAAGAGAAAGACTGAAGATAGACATGAAGGTCCACGGTGATGGAGAATAAAAGAAAGACTGAAGGCCAACATGATGGTCCAGGGTGATGGAGGATAAGAGAAAGACTGAAGGCCAACATGAAGGTCCAGGGTGATGGAGAATAGATTGAAGGTGGTCAGTCCTGGGTGGGATTCACCCACAGAATTTCAGTCTCCTGTTCAATAAATGGTCACAGTGTATAATGTTTTGCTAGTTAAAGCAAAGTTAGCTGTAGGTGGTTACTGATTCTGAGATATACCTTCATCATGTGTCTCCCACTGTTTCTGTTACAGTACAATTTATCAATAACAACGCTAATCGAGGGCTGAAATTTTAATTTAAAAGCATTATTTGTATTAATAAAATACATTTCATTTATTGTATTATTTGTTGAATTTTAGCAAACCAATACATTTGCTCATTTGTAATATTTTGATTAATCTGTCTGCTGTTTGCACAAAGCAGCACATAGCATTAATATTAATTGATAAAAATTGAAATAAAAAAAAAATATTTTTTTTCCAAGAAAATTTAAAAATCATCAACAACTAACTGAAATATTTATTTTAAGGAACCAAGTTGAAGGCTATCTGTTTATTTTCCATTCAGGTACAGGCAATCCCCGAGTTACGAGTGTCTGACTTATGAACAGCTCGTACTTACGAACAGACTGCCATAAAGCCCGTTATATTAAAAATTTGGGTTTAATACAATGGTTCGTAATATTGAAAGCACCCAGTACATCGTGAAGCATGGCTTCAACAGTTCGTCGGCTCAAGATACAATACAGTACCATATCTACTTTTTTTACTGTGTAATAATAATAATTGTTATAATTATTATTATTACTGTTATTATTATTATGTACTGCGTTTATTTTTCTGACTTGCCTACAAATTTGACTTAAAGACTTTGGGAACGGATTTCTTTCGTAAGCTGGGGACTGCCTATATTTCTGTAACTATCAATTAATTATTTGAACACGTTTGAAAAATGGTTTGGTGTCTTGATCCAGTTTAAGGTGATTCCTGTCGCCTGTTCTGTCTCTGCCCTGTAGCTTGGCTTACCTGTATCTGCTCTCAAGCCTTCCCTAGGTGCTTCAGGCTCCATCATCTCGACCATATGATTAAACTGCTTCTCCCTGCTTCTCTCTTGTCTCTTTCAGCTGTTCTCCTCAGCTTAGTGAATCCTCTCCCCCTTTTCATCCTTCCTTCACTTCGTTCTCTTCCTTTCGAAGCATCGGCCAGCCTTGGACCAACAGCATAGAGCTCTGGTGTTACTTACAGAGTCACCAGTCTGTGGGCTGCCTCCTGACTCCTTTCTCTCTGGCAGATGGACACATCTCAGAGCATCTGCGGAAAGGCAGCATCAGTCCATCTCCAGCTCGAATGTTTAGCATGATGATTTAGCGCTTTGGTGCCTCTAGCAGGCAGTAATTGGGGCCCCACTGGCATGTGCTGAGGCATCTGTGGACACGGCACAGCCTGAGGGGAACCAAGGACACCAACAAGAGTGGAAGTTCTCCGCACACTGCCGTCCACAGAGCATTGGCTGGGCAACGGCCACTCGAACATGTAGGAGGCGCTTTAGCACTCTTTAAGCAGATCCGACTTTGCGCCTAAGCTGAGCTCCACATACCTGAATCTGACAGCCCCACGCTGACCGAGGAGGGAGGGAGCAGAAGAAGCCAGAGGCCAAAAAGGAGGAGCTACGCATCCAACATTATCCTACCCTCAAGATGATGTGCGAGGTCATGCCCACCATCTCGGAGGATGGCAGGCCGGGGGGGCCGTCATCCCCGGCGGGGGGCGGCGGAGGCGGGGCCGGGATGGGCGGAGCTGGTGGCGGGTACGAGGGCGGCAGCACGGGGAACCTGGAGTCGCTGATGGTGAACATGCTGACTGAGCGTGAGCGCCTCCTGGAGAGCCTGAGGGAGATGCAGGAGAGCCTGGGCACCGCCCAGCTACGCCTCCGCGAGCTGGGCCACGAGAAGGAGTCGCTGCAGAGGCAGCTGTCCATCGCCCTGCCACAGGTGCGTCACTCTCTGTGCTGTGCGTCTCTGTGTACCTGTGTGCGTGAAGCTTGTTTATGTGTTTAGGGATTCTAGTCAGGCACTTATAGTGGTCACCTATAATGATTTGGATGGAGCCGCAGCCAAACATATCACCAGAGGCAGACTGCTTTAATAGGGTGAAAATGATGAGCTTCAGTGGGTCCTGGGATGGTGCTCCAGCACGTTGATGGTTTGGTTCACTAGCTGATGTGAAGATGAGACTCTAGGCCAGGCACTGAGTGTCCTGCATTACAGGCTCTCCATCATTTTGGGGCCTTTGGCTGATGAGGGGCATGAGTTGAAGCCCTAAACCACACAGACACACATCACACTGCATCGTCAGTAAGATCCCCAGCCCATTTTAAGTCAGCTGTCACCCAGTAATACTTAGAGTGTCCACTGCATCACAATCCGTGATCCCATCCCCCACTCTGCCTCTGGGTGGCGCTGTCTCTCTCACCACAGAGCCACTCTAACTCGGTCCGGCTGTTCCCTCTGTTGACCTGTGAATATAGGGGACACTTCCAGTCCCACAGTGTTTTACTGTGATGGCGCAAAATGGAACCAGTATCCCTTTTGCCCCCCCCAGCAGTCTTGGTAAACATTAAGGCTCTCGTTTGGTTGCAGTGGGATTTCTGTTTGAGGCTCTACCTTTCAAGGGATCACACAACCTTATAGACCTTCACAGACCTTTATAAACCATCACAGATCCTAACAATCCATCACAGACCTTCTCAGACCCTCACAATGCTTCACAGACTCCCACAATTTTTCACAGACCTTCCAAAACCTTCACAGATTGTCACGGACCTTCACAAGCCATCATACTTCCAGCTCATTAGGTTTCACTGGGGTCGCTTTCAATTTCCTGATGCATCAAAAGTCGCTACTCCAGGATAGACGTTAACTGAAGAATACAGTGTGAATATCCCAGATGTTATAACCATGGAATCTCTCTGCGTACTGCGGTGCACTACTTTGTCCATTTCTAGTTTGTGGTTATATCATGGAAAGAAGCTGATGCTCACAGAACTGTGTGCTTCTGTGTGAAGACAGAATCCCTGTTTACTGCTGCAGCCACACTACCTCACCCCTGTCTTGTCACCAAACCTATAATATATGACTTACTGTACACTGTGCAAAGCACGGCACATGTGTATTGCGACTGCATTTATGAGAGAACCAGGGCATGCGATTTTTGATTTTCATGGTAAATTAACGTCTATAGGTCAACGAAGCAGAAAATGGGGTGTTTCTGGGCAGTGTAGTGCGTCTCTGTGTCTTGTAGCTCCTCCTGCTTCTATGGTAGCATCTGCATCAGCAGTGACTATTGACTCGTCTCCCCCTTGTGGCCAAACAGGAGTTTGCAGTGCTGACCAAAGAGCTGAATGTGTGCCGGGAGCAGTTGCTGGAGCGGGAGGAGGAGATCGGCGAGCTGAAGGCCGAGAGGAACAACACGCGGGTGAGCATGGGCGGGCAAGAAAACTGCTTCCCCAAGTGTTTGGGCACAATCAGGCGCTCTGTGCTCACTGCTCGTTCTCCTCTCTGTTCTGCAGCTCCTCCTGGAGCACCTGGAGTGCCTGGTGTCCCGGCACGAGCGCAGCCTACGCATGACAGTGGTTAAGCGGCAGGCTCAGTCTCCAGCCGGCGTGTCCAGCGAGGTGGAGGTGCTGAAGGCTCTCAAGTCACTGTTCGAGCACCACAAAGCGCTGGACGAGAAGGTGAGGCACTGCGGACGTGTTCTTCCTTACGTGACGCGTCGTCAGGCTCTGCGCTTGCCTTAAGCTGAGTGCTCTCCTTCCTGACAGGTCAGAGAGAGGCTTCGGGTCGCTTTGGAGCGGGTGGCCGTTTTAGAGGAAGAGCTGGAATCTTCTTCACAAGAGGTACCCCTTCCTATCCCTCTCCGCCCAGTATCTGTCTGCCATATTGGCGCAGGGTCACCGTCCCTCTCTCCTCACCAGGTTCTGACATTAAGAGACCAGATAAAACGGCAGCAGGGACTGGATGGTGGCAGAGAGGTGAGCTGATGTTCCTGTGTGTGTGTGTGTGTGTGTTTGTGTGTGTGTGTGTGTGTGTGTGTGTGTGTGTGTGTGAGGGATGACAGCATGTGTGGCAGTGTGCACACTGGCCTTCGTCCCGTGAGCTTGCCGTCTCTGCCTTCTTGGGACGCAGAGGCTGACCAACGGTCCCTCTTCTCTCCTGGAGGATGGGGACTGTGAGCGGCAGAGGGAGGCGGAGATCGAGCGGCAGAGAGTGGAGCTCTCACAGCTCAGGGAGCGGCTGGCGCTCATGTGCCGGCAGGTGAGGGGGCAGCCGTGGTCGGGGCTCTCGGTGGGTGAGGGTTTCCTCCAGTTGATCCTGTTTTCTCCCTCAGTCCAAATCCCAGCGAACCACTGCCTCAGAATCACCTGGAGTGATTATGTACCCGGTAGTGGACTGGCATCCTGTCCAGGGCGTGGCCTATGCTGTCTGTGATAGGCCCACGACCCTGACTGGGATAAGGAGTTAGAAGATGGATGGATGGATATTCAGAGCACACACACACAGAAAATGAGCATTACCCTTGCGGGAATTTTACTTTGTGAGACCAACTGGCCCAGACATTGTAATTCAGGGGTCCTCAACCTTTTTAACCAAATGGCCAGTTCACTGTCATTCCCACTTGTGGGACTGTGGGTGAAAAAGAGAAAAAATCACTATTTATTCTATATACATTAGTTCCACGTGTTAACTGTTAACTGTGATATAGTGTCAATGGTTGAAACGTATTATTTTGCTATGATAAAGAGGGCAGGGAAATGATGCCTAACCAGAGATCCCACCTTTGGAATTCTGAGAACAGGGAGGCGGATGAGGGTGAGGAGCAATCGGGAGATGGGGGAGGTGTTGGCTAGGCTCGGCCGGAAATACTGTAATACCATATTCCGCTCAGCAAATTTTATCATAAAATACCACAATTGTATTGCTTTTTAAAATACTGTATGCTGTAGAATGATGTCTGCGTCGTATGACAGTATTAAAAATTAGATACCGCCGAAGCCTAGTACTGGCTGGGGGGGCAGGGTGTTTGGCTATAAAATTTGCCAACCAGATAGGGCGGGGTAGTGGTAGTACTTGTCGGGTAATTTTACCGCCGCTAAATAGTGGAACAAGGGATTTATGGGACACACGCTGGTGTTGGAGAGCTGCTGTCAATTTGCAAGAGACTCCCAGAACTTCCATGATACAGATTTATGTGATTGTGTAGCAGGTGAAGTTTTTTATTTTTAATGTTTTTACGGATACTAGCCACATTTGCTTTGGCACATTTCTCTTTACGTACCTCCCCCGTTATCTCGGAAGTTTTGTAGCAAGCCAGATTATCCGAGCTGCCAGTGTTGGTAAAGGGGCGATGAAATGAAGGGAGCAAGCTGTAGTTCAAGGAACCCTGTTGTGACTGGTCACGGAGGTGACAGTAAGACAGCTTCCTCCATTGCGCCCTCTTGTGGTCATGACATGACAGTGCAGTGAGAAATAAGGCAGAGAGCTCACATCTAGCTGTGTCCCACCCCTACCACAGGTGGGTGACATTGAGGAGCAACTCTCAGCAGCCCGAAGAGAAGTAACCAAGTCAGAAGAGGCCAATCAGAAGCTCCAACGGGATGTGAAAGAGGTGGGGCTGCTTTCAGGGTCAGACTGCAGCCACTGGCCGACAACAGAGGCCTTTCACAGGATTCACAGGAGCAGGCAGCTTTGCATGATGGGTAATGTGCACGCTTTGCAGTGATAACCTTTTGCCAAACCAAATCAGGTGTTCATCCACAGCTGGTACAACTGACTGCCTGAAGATTTTAAAGCTGTAAACTTGATGATAAATAAGTCAAATCCGTCAAGTGACCAAAGAATTCCTTGTCCTCTCAGGAAGGCCATTAAGAGAACCCGATGTTCTCTGACCTCTCAGGAAGGCTGTTAAGAGAACCTGACATTCCTTGTCTTCTCAGAAGACAAATTAAGTGATAGAGGCATTCCCTGTCCTCCCAGGAATACCATTAAGTGTATGCAATATTTTCTGTTCTCTCAGGAAGGCCCGTTAGGAGAATATGGTGTTCCCTGTCCTCTCAGGAATGCCGTTAAGTGAACACGACATTCCCTGTCCCCTAAGGAATGCTGTTAAGTGAATATGATGTTCCCTGTCTTCTCAGTAGTGCCATTAAGTAAAAGTGGCCTTCCCTGTTCTCTCAGGAAGGCTATTACGTTAACACAGCATTCCCTGTCCTTTCAAAAAGAGCATTCATTGTCCAAGGCTTTCCCTGTCCTCTCAGGAAGGCCATTAAGTGAACATGGTATTCCCTGTCCTCTTAGGAATATCGTTACGTGAATCCAACATTCCCTGTCCTCTCAGAAAGGCCATTAAGTGATGCATGCAGGGTTTGCCATTATGCTGGCTGACACTGACAGGTGAACATTTTTATGGAATGATCCAGAGCATACGCTGGTTAAGTGCAGGATGTTGGTGGTATTGTGCCGATGTTTTATGAGCCCATGTCACAGCTGGGTACAGATGTGCACAGCTGGGGCAACTGACAGGTTCTGCTAATCCTGCATGACAGACATGTGAACAGCCTCAACCTGAAAGCTCGCTCCTAAACAGGAGGCTCCCAGTGCCCCCCTTGAAAAGCCGTTAAGTATGTCCTGCAAACTGCCATTATCTCTGATTTGGATATTACTACAGGAGGTGGGACACAGGGTCAGATCCATGTGGCCTTTTGTTTAAAAGGGGGGTTTGAGCAGGGATCACAGATGGGTTTGCAAAATGTATGTGTTTAGTGTGAAGCTGGAAATTATTAATGAACAAAACCCTCCATCACAGGCTTTGTGTCAAAGAGAGGACATGGAGGAGAGGATCACTACCTTGGAGCGCAGGTAACGGCTGCAGCTGCTTGCCAATGATCTCTCCTGCAACTTAGCCGATATCTCCCTGACTGTACTGATCTCTCCCTGACTGAACTGATCTCTCCCAGACTGAATTCATCTGTCCCTGACTGACCTGATCTCTCCCCGACTGAATTCATCTGTCCCTGACTGACCTGATCTCTCCCAGACTGAACTGATCTTATCACTCCCAAACTGAACTGATCTCTCCCTGGCTGACCTGATCTTTTACAGACTGAACGGATCTCTCCGCAGCTGAACTGATCTCTCCTCAGCTGAACTTATCTGTCTTGCAACTCACCGAATCTTACTCTGACTAAAGTAAAGTCTCCCTGATTGAATTGATCTCTCCCTAAATGAAGTGATCCCCCCTAGCCGAACTGATCTCTCCCTGACTGACCTGATCTCATATCCTTTTCAGTAATTTACTGCTCTCATCTCTCTGCACGCTTTTTCACTACACTTTTTATACTTTTCCTTTTCCATTGACTTCCGGATGAGTAGCAGTACCAAAAGTACAGTACCTAGTGCAATGGAAAAACCCCCTAAATAGGATGCTAATCTTTCATGTGTGTCTGTGTTTCTTAGGTACCTCAGTGCCCAAAGGGAAGCCACTTCTCTTCACGACATCAAAGACAAGCTGGAGAATGAGCTGGCAAGCAAGGAGTCTCTGTATAGACAGGTGACGATTCAGAACATTCCGCAGGGTCCGCCCCTGGTTCATGGCCTGCGAGCAAGAATGCTGATGCTTCCTCATGTTGCAGAGTGAGGAGAAGAACAGGCAGCTGCAGGAGTGGCTGGATGATGCCAAACAGAAGCTACAACAGACACTGCAGAGGGCTGAGACCCTGCCAGAGATCGAGGCCCAACTGGCACAGCGGGTAGCGGCACTCAACAAGGTATGTGTGTGTCTGTCTCTCTGTCTGTCTTTGTCTATCCTCCCTGATCTGTAAAGGTTCTTCTCCTGTTCAGGCAGAAGAACGCCACAGCAACTTTGAGGAGCGACTGCGACAGATGGAAACACAACTGGAGGAGAAGAACCAGGAGTTACAGAGGGTAAATTATGGTGCTGCCCCCCCCCCCCCCCCCTGCATTTCCTTCCTTCAACAGCATGTGGCGCTATCCTGTAGCCCTGTTCTCTGCCCCCCCAGGCCAGGCAGAGGGAGCGCATGAACGATGAGCACAACAAGCGGCTCTCAGACACCGTGGACAAGCTACTGTCCGAGTCCAACGAACGTCTGCAGCTCCACCTGAAGGAGAGGATGGCAGCGCTGGAGGAGAAGGTGAGCCAAGGGTGGGGGCTCCACTTCGTTATGGACCTTGGTAGAGAGCAGCCCTTCTATAGTGCAACCTGTGGAAACTGTGAAAACAATGAGTGTGTGAAGAAATGAAGTGTACACCTCTTGCCATCAGAATGCACTCTCAGAGGAGCTGGCCAACATGAAGAAGATACAGGATGATCTTCTAGCAAACAAGGCAGGTTCTTCTTGTACTGTGACACTTTTCTCTTATCCTCTATTCTGGCTCATGCTGGTCTGTTTGACCCTTTCTGCTGTATCTCTGACTTCTTCCAGGACCAGTTGATAGCAGAGCTGGAGCGACTTCAACTGGAGCTGGATCAGCTGAGAGGCAGGTCAGGTTCCTCCTACTCCAGGTAACACATTTGCAGACATTCCCTGCAGCCAGAATATTTATTTTAGCATCCTTCCTGGGATGTGAATAATCCCTGTGACCTCCTCGGCTAGATCCCTTCCAGGAAGTGCCCTAGAACTGAGGTACTCTCAAGGGGGCGGGTCTGGCTCTCACCTGGAGCACTACAGCAACGCGGCTGCTGGGGGCGTGGTGAGGCGGACTCACCGGGGGCGATGGGGAGCGCCACGGGAGGATGCTAGCAAGGCAAGGCACCCCTACCCTGAGGGATTATGAGAATTATTCTCAGGGTATAGAACTACCACAAGGCTGAAGTCAAAGGTCGCTCTAGGACATTGATCAAGAGAATGATTGTGTTTCTTTTTGCTGCAGTACACAGACTGGGATGGCAGCAGCCTCCTGGGCCCTGGGTTCGAGGGTGGAGTGGAGGGGAGCTGCTCTGATGAGGAGGATGAACGAGAGGCGATGATAGGCACAGAAGCACTGTCACCTGGCGGGCAGACGGACGTGCAGACGCTGGCCATCATGCTGCAGGAGCAGCTGGAGGCCATTAACAAGGAGATCAAGTGGGTGGTGCGAGGAGGAGGGGCAGGTCCATCAGCGATGCAGGAAGGGTGGGGCAAGGCCGTCAGTTGGGAGGGGAGTAGCCATCAGCAAAGAGCCGAGGGAGGGGAGGGGCGGTCGGTCGGGAGGGGAGTGGCCATCAGCACAGAGTGCAGGGAGGGGAGGGGCCATCATTGGAGAGGGGAGTGGCCATCAGCGCAAAGTGCAGGGAGGGGAGGGGCCATCATTGGAGAGGGGAGTGGCCATCAGCGCAGAGTGCAAGGAGGGGAGGGGCCATCATTGGAGAGGGGAGTGGCCATCAACGCAGAGTGCAGGGAGGGGAGGGGCCATCATTGGAGAGGGGAGTGGCCATCAGCGCAGAGTGCAGGGAGGGGAGGGGCCATCATTGGGGAGGGGAGTGGCCATCAGCGCAGAGTGCAGGGAGGGGAGGGGCCATCATTGGAGAGGGGAGTGGCCATCAGCGCAGAGTGCAAGGAGGGGAGGGGCCATCAGTGGAGAGGGGAGTGGCCATCAGCGCAGAGTGCAGGGAGGGGAGGGGCCATCATTGGAGAGGGGAGTGGCCATCAGCGCAAAGTGCAGGGAGGGGAGGGGCCATCATTGGAGAGGGGAGTGGCCATCAGCGCAAAGTGCAGGGAGGGGAGGGGCCATCATTGGAGAGGGGAGTGGCC